AAGTCCTGTACAACATGGATGATCCGATGTTCTACAAAGCCCAACTCCCACCTGTTTGAAAGCACACACAGTCTTCCAAAAAGCGACCGTCCACTTCCATGAAATATTTTTCATCACCTATCCAACTGGGAGATCTAAATTAAAGCTTAGCACAGTAGAGGAATTCAACCTAGAATCTAGAATGTTGGCCCTAAGGGTGCATCACCAAGATAGGCCAGCAAGCAAGAACCCTGTAGGTGGAGTCTCTGGAGTTACATGGACAAATCTAAAATGACCATAGCGGTCAACAGTCTGTTGGGTTCACGCCACTCAAATGCATTGAAACTACAAAGCATCGCACCATGCTACAGAGTTTCAAGTTCTTGTCGTACACACAAATTACTTCTATAGTTGTTTGAGTCCAATCAACAAGAACCCATAACACTATTTTCACAGTGTCTGACCGGCTGACATATCTTCAGAGACGACAGTATTACAGTATTCGCAGCCAAGCAACACACAGCAGAAGGCTCAGCCTCAGCCACCTGCGACGTCCGAACCAGTTGTCAGCATGGAAACGCCTGGCTAACTGGGGTTATAGCTCAGGGAGTGGGCAGTGGGATCATATTTGCCTTCTATATTTCTTTGAGAACCTTCACGTGGGGGGGGGAAACGTCTAAATGAGTCTCGATTTGCAGTCCGTGTTGTCTTCATGATCGATAACGCAAACCGGATCCTGATGTTGGACCATTGATGCTTCTTATTTGCACTTCCTGCCTCCTCCTCTTCCTCAGGAGTCTCAGGAGTCTCAAGAGTCTCAGGCTCAGGTTCTTCAACATCTTCAACCTTTGGTATCTCAGGCTCCTCTACGGCAAATGCTTCAACAAGCACAGGACAACTTCTGATCTACATCATGCACTGATGTTTCAGCCTTTAGATAATCCACTAATTATTTAACCAAAACGAGAAGCATCTCTGATTGAAACACGTGCACAAATTTCTGCACTTGCCGATGTTAAACCGGAGGCAAAGAGCGAAAAAGTGGGTGAGAGGACCTAACTGGAGCCAAAACAATGGCTCGTGAACTGTATTTAGGGTGAAGGAACTAGACAATAGAAAAATGATTTGGTGACGGTCGGTGTGGTCAGAAGGTATGGCTTACCACCATTTCACATGGGTTTGTACAACAACCAATGGGGCAGGGCTTGTGTTTATTTCTCTCAGTTCTCCTTCATTTGGCTCCAGTTAGGTCCCCTCACCCACGTTTCGCTCTTTACCTCCCGTTTAACATCGACAATTACATCATAACTCTTCGAAAGACTCTCTTCTACCTACTACAACGACACCAAAATTGGACCAATTGGGTTCATGCTCCCTCTCCGTCTTCTGGGCCACATCTTCCACCTTCGCATCAACTAAAACCAAATCTGTGCAAACGTTTTCTGTTGATTGCAATTGTAGCAGAGCTGCTTCTGTTTCTTGGTGTGTTTGTTTTACAGAGAAAAACAACCAACTGTAATTGGCTGTCAAAGCGAAAAAACAATATAGTTGCAGTCCAGCTGCTGTTGGCAAGTCGTCCACCTCCTCCTCACCTGCCTCCTGGATCTCTTCAGATCCATCATTTGGGGTTGGTGGTTCTGTTTGGAGATGACCATGCGCGGCAATGTCGCCCAGGTGTCGAGCAGCAAGGCCCTGGTCCCACAGCGCAACCTGATTTGGACGCCCGAAATCGATCGAAAAGGCATCGAGTGTGCCCTGATACCCATGTTCTGCAAAGTTGCAGCATGGGTAAGCGGTGAGCGTTCTTTGGGCAACACATCCAATGACACTCATGGACAAAATAGAAGGCTGCAGCAAAACATCTGACTCGATTAACATGTTAGTTGTATTAACATGTTAGTTTCCTCTCTCTCAAGGGACTAAAAATTGCATAAATGGATTGGAAAAAACACGCTGAAGTCAAAACACCAATAGTTGCTGCGGAAAAAGGGACGCTTGACAACATCAACGCAGGCAAATTTCTTGAAGCAGAGTTCCGCAAGGTAAGTGGATGCACACAGTTTCTCCAGTAAATGTCAATCATCGCGCGCAAAGGAACCTCCTAGCTAAGTGTCAACTGAGGTTTGCGGTTTGCCATGTGCAAAGGCACGGTTAGAACCCGTCTTCCCAACAGCCGTTCGGACCGGGCCCAGTCTGAAGCACTGCGAGAAAAACAAAGAAAGTCAAAACGCTTTGCGCTCTCCGATGCAACTATCCGATGCAACTATCCTTGCAAAGGCAGTCACTAGACTCAGTGAGGGACTGTAAACCCCAAGCAAATTTTGGAGGCGATGAAGCTTGAAGTACTGCAGTGTTTTGCAATCCATTTGCACGCAAAAACTGTGTGATGTTGTTTTTGTTTTGACAATGCAAACTTGGCTAACATCTTTCCTACTTCATTCATCAACACTGAAGCTGAGCACCGGAATGCGAAGCACAAAGTAACAAACACGTTTCTTGGAGCGGGCACAAGGAGGAGCCACGCGCATGCATACACTGACGTCGGCGACAGGAAGTGGCTTTATGAACTAGAGTGTTCACCTGGTGCGTGCGCAAAGCAACCACTTGAGTGATCTCAAAAAAACAAGGTTGAATACATCACACAACGCACATCGGCACATGGCGCGCTCATCTGTGTTGTAGTTTCTTCGGCAAGAAACCTTTGTTGTTGGGTGCCATCAATGTTTAAAATACGCTTCCAGTAGTCTCAAACAAAACACACACACAAAAATAGCCATATGCCGTGCCATGACATGTCAACCCCACAACGCAACATAAGCCGGGATTGTCGCCGCTGCTTGCAATGTCGATTCTGCTCATAAGTCGGCATTGCCGATATGCAACCATTTTATTAAACTGACCGACACTTATTATCTAAATAGTGGGCTAAACCAGTTATTCTGAAGGAAAGTGAGATAGAACCTGTGAAATGATGGACCGGGTGGGAAAAATGAATTATGTCATCAGGAAAGAACCTATATGCCACACACACACATTTATGTTGTCTCATAAATGTTTGAGATTGGATGGTTTGAGGAGGTATTTGACAAGACACACATGACCTAGGAGTCTGCCACCAACATATCATGTGGCAACTAGGGACTAAGATAGGAAAGCGGTTGCTTAAATTCCATAGCGACAACCTAGTTACCTAGCGTTTCCAGTGGGAAAAACTAAAGGAGCGTGCCTGTCATGGAAGCTTTCATCAGTCATATTTTTTCCTTGGGCACGATAGTCCGTTCTTTGATTGAAATATAGATGTACTGGCAAAAAGTCCACACCTCCTATGTCATCCTACTGTGTCCTGCATTTGGCAACCTTGTCTACTGACACATGACTTAAACACTGTGGTCACTAGGTCACTAGCCCAGCAAATTCTATCTCATTAGCCCTCAGTATACGGTTCTATCTCTGTAATCATTGCAGTATATATACAATAATGGTAATTATACAATGCGTTTGTGTCTCCGATTAAAGAGAAACTATGTTTGCCATGTAAAAAATAAACACATAACTATGACTATAAATATATATATATATATGTAATTATATGTAATTACACACATCTGCACGCAGAACACACGCGAGATCAAGTACGCCAAGACAGGAAGCATCAAACACTAGGACGTGCAAGGCCCTTATTTGCTTGGTACTCCAAACGTCGTTTCCGAACCCACAAGATGCAATTCCATTTGGGATGGCTGGCGCTCACCACCAATATTCAATCGAGCCGCCGTAGCAAAGATGAAAGCAACTTGGCTGATCATGACGAAAGGATTCACAAACGCTCGGACTGTTGAAACACGGATGTCGTCCCTCGCTGAGAGCCGAATAGCAGCAGTTGAATTTGATGTGCAGCCATTCATGCACGAGCCACTGTTGCCATACAGTAGGAGCAAGTGTCACTTATTGACTTGCCCAACGAATGTGTCTCTACATTCAGCACGGCCATTCGACTGGGTATGGCTTGGCTAAAACTAGAATCGACAAAGTTGCAACGATAAAAGAGTGATGAGTTGATACAGTAATGTTACGACAAATTTGAACCACGGCCCTAAATGTGGCCGGCTTTACTTCGAGCCCGGCATTTTGTTGAATCTCAAACTAGCTACCACACCCCTCACTCTACTTAGCCAGAATGCCCCTTCCTGTGGTTTACTTGAAAAATGACCAATAGCTCTGGATCGCCCTGGAACCTCTTCATTCATTTCAAAGCTGGTCAACGGCATCGACCGCCCTTTTCTGACGCTCAGCATGGGTCTCTGACTTCTTCAGTGACCAAAAATGCCAAATGATCACAAACAATACTAGTGCCGCCTACGTGCATCAAAGTGTGCACACAATTCCGGCATGCAACACTCATGCGTCAAGCCCATGCTTCCTGAAGTTGCGGAATGCACGGTACAACGTCTTGTGTTGTTCGTTTGGATCAGTCACCTCTTCTAACTTTGAGGGCAGTTCAGCATAAGGTGGCAAAGGCACCAAACATGACAGCCAGTTCCTTTTTGTGCCTCGCATATGGCATCCCTAGACAGGAACGATTCGCCATCCAATAATAACTATGTCAACATGCCCCAAAAACCAGAATCCTGTGGCAAGTCCGCACCATCGGTTGCCCTCCGCCCTCCTTCTACTGCCGAGCCACTAGCAAGTAAGTGTAGTCGCATCATAGCAACCCCAAGCCGCGACTCCGCAACTTGAAGCATCAGCCTGCGAAAGAAGCGACAGGGTTCATGGTTCATGGCCAGGGCAGCTTCCCTGGAGGCGAGCCAGGCAAGCAAGCTGGAAAACCAGCAAACATCTCAATGCTACTAAACATTGCAAGATATTGCAAGTTTGTATACACCCACATGCTCCAGGAGCCCTTGTGACTCTTGACACTGACTTGACTCTCTCACGCCACAATAAAGGTGGACATAAATCCCACCTTCTTGACATATTTGCATCCATCCCTGGTGCCGCAGGTTCTCCAGTGCACCGATTCACCGCCACCTGGAAGCGGTGGCGCTCCAGACCGGTGACCAGGTCCCAAAGAATTCACGCCATCTGGGAACACACAGCGCAAAATCCATGTTTTCGTTGCTTTTTTCCTCATCACCTATAGATCTAGAAAGCCAAACACCCAAGATGTGTGCCCACCTGAAGGTGTTGCAGGAATCGACAAGTCAGAACAAAAACAACTTCGGGGAAACGTTTAATTGAAACTACATGGAATTGCGGTGTGTAGCAGTTTTGAAGTTTGTGGTGCATGCACATCTATAATTATGTTTGAGTCTCACTTCAACAAATAGGACATTGATACCTTCAGAGAATCCCAGTGCAACAGGTATGTTTACAGGTGCTGACATGATAGTGACTGAGAAGTTCAATGGACAAAAACAGCGACTCCTTTTCAGGAGCCTCGCTGGGTGGAAAGGGAAGCCTTTCGGGCTTGGAAACACAAAGTGCCACTGGCAACTGCTTCGCAGCCAAGCAACACACAGAAGGCTCAGCCACCTGCGACATCCGAACCAGTCCAGGTTAGCAGGGTGGAAAACCCTGGCTAACTGGGGCTTTAGCTGGGGAAATGAGATCATACTCGCCTTGGAACCTTCACGTAAGGGGAAATGTCCAGATGAGTCTCGATTTGCCGTCCGTGTTATCTTCATGATGCAAAACTGCGAAGCCATCCGTATTCTGAAGGTGGACCATTCGCGCTGCCTCCTCCTCCTCTTCCTCTTCTTCAAAGTTGGGTGTCTCAGGAGTCTCAGGTTCAGGTTCAATCTTTGGTGTGTCAGGCTCCTTCACGGCAAATGCTTCAGCAAGCACAGGAGACCTTCTGATGGAGACAACTTCTGCTTCTGATCTACATCGTACACCGATGGCGAGCCTCACGACGGCTTCGACGACATTTAGGACCTTGTCTTTCAATATGTGTATTTATACTATCACACACAACTTACACAACCAGAACCTTCAAATATCATCGAAATTGATGGATGCTATGAAGTTACATCCTCATCACACTTCGAAGAGAACAACTCCATCCTACGGTCCCACACCAATGACTCCAAGCTCCTTCTCCATCTTCGCGACCTCATCTTCCACCTTGGGTTCCATACATGGTAGAGCTGTTTCTGCTGCTTGGTGTCTTCGGCTTGTAGCAACAACATGTAGCAACCTGTAAACAAACACGACTGCGGACTGCGCAAATCATTGCAGTCCAGCCACTGTTCCTGGCAAGTCTGTCTCCTCTTCATCCTCTTCCTCAATCTCTTCAGACCCCTCGTCACTTGGAACGTCGGTCGCTTCTTCATCAGATGTAATTGGCTTCGGTGGCGTAGGTGGCGCCAAGCTCACTGTAATGCACGCGCCAACACCATACATCTTCAGAGCTCCACACTCCTCAATGGACATCGAAACTGATCAACCACGAAGTATCAAGCGAGGTTGGCCTATAGATGAGAGAAGTGGGAGAACACCGAGCGAAAGTTATTGATAATTACAAACAATTGCATGCTAAGCATTCTTACCGCCTCCGAAGCTTCCGCGATGATCCTCTTGCCAGGTTGCGGAGGGGTGGCTCTTTGGAGCTTCGTTGCTCTTCTGCACGCCCTTGTAGCACTCGTACATCCAGTCGCACTTGTAACCGCTGGGCACGGCCTGCAAATCTACATAATTTCGGAAATGCTGCCTTCAAAGGCAATGCGGCAGTGTCAGTGGATTTAAAGAGTTCCACTATCACATCTGCAAGATCCGGGAATTTTGTTGACAATTGTCAATTGTCCACCCAAATGCAGAATCAGGATCCACAGTTTCGGCAGCACACTCAAGGACAAGCGGCTCAAAACCAAGGACATCCGCCGTAAACATGATGCGAAAGTGTCATCTGGCTTTGGATTTGCCAGACAACACCTTCAACGAGCATAAGATTCTGAAACCTCCAAATTGGGGACCTTTTAATTGAATGGTTTCATTTGTAGGTCACTAGTCTTCAATATTGAAGTGCACCCTGGCGGTTACAAACAATGTGTTGTTTTTGTTGCTAAGTCGAAAACTGATCAGGTGTGAATTGGAATAGGCTCTCTCATACCCCGGTCAGTCATTGCAAATAGATCTGGCATATTGGAACTCTTGGTTCAAACAAGTGTATAGGGGAAACTCCATCACATTGTCATACCACTTTGGGGTTGAAACAACAGGCCATGTCCTTGTGTTTATGTGCCTTGTAGTGCTTGCAATCATGCTTGTTCTGGCCCTCGCAGGCTGCTGTTGCTTCTGCCGATGGTTGGAGGTTTCCATGAAGGGCAATGTCGCCCAGCTGTCGAGCAGCAAAGCCCTGATCAATGCACAGTACCACCTCAGGATAGTGAAGTGATCCCTGGACAATTTTTAGTTAGTGTCTTTCCAAGGGTTTCCCATGCAATTGCACTTCGTGTCAACCCCCCAAAGAACGAAGATGCACGTGATACCCATGATGAGAGAAGATTGCGTGACATGAAGAACTAGATGTAGATAAGGCGGAGGATGTCGATACAATTCTTGGGTGAAATAGGCAAAAATGGACTGACATTCCCGAAGAACGAACACAAAAATCCGAAACACAATAACACCAAAAAAATAGAACACAACAAAGGCAACGTGAACACATGCAATGCAATAAGATGTTGCCAAGGAGGAACATCAGAAATGAAAGGTGCCGACTTTCATGCAATGTGTGACAAATTGGTGCTTTGATAAAAAGTGCACACTAGCAAGGTTCTCAGCCTGCTAGCAAAAACAAGGTCACGTTGCCCGCAACGACCCCGCGCAAAACACACCCGTTTGTCCAAGACGCTTTGGTAACCCTTACAGCATTTCGGTTGTCAGGGAGTTTAAAGCGCATCTACAAAGTCCAGCGTTTTACAAAAGAGTGTGATTGTAAGATGAGCGATCGGCAAGACCTGAATTGGTTTTTGCACAGGTTAGCTTAAGTTATCGTGCTTGGGAGGGAACTCACTAAATCGTTTTCCATTAAACCCTGAAAGCATCCATGTCAATCACCTGCCAAATGGGTACGGCCACACCTACTCCTATAAAATCTCTACCTCAGCTTCTTCATGGTAGCTGAGCACCTACACGCAAAAAGCGGTTGACCCTGTCAGTCGCAAAAATGATTTATCTCAAAATCTCTTTACATCTGGGCCATCCATCACAAGAGCACATTTCTGTGCAAACATAGTTATCGTTTAGTTTTCGATTTGGTTATCGCTCAAAGCGTAGATACATCTTGGGAAAATATTGTGGGCATTTACATGTTCGCAAGCAGGCCGGAAACATTGCAAGAATGAATATCCTCTATAAATACGTTACGAAAACCATTACACGGAAAACTTGAGAGATGGGGGGCGCAGTGTTCGTATGGGAAACCTGTCAATGTTCGCATGCTACACTGTCTGTTCCACAATTTCATGCACAATTATGCTGTCAGGAAGCGCAGTACTTGTTTGCTATTACATCACATTACATGCGTTCATTTCAAGGTTATCATCTTTGGGAGTTCATATATTTTACAGGTCAAAACGCACGTTTTCAGTCAATTTGTTCTCCAATACTACTCTGTTCGATGGAGAGTTTAGACTGTTGCTGAGATGAAAAGGGGTTCACCATGGTTCACAATTGCAAAGGCAGTCACTAGACTCGGTGAGGGCCTGTAAACCGCAAGCAAATGTTAAAGGCGATGAAGTTTGACGTAGTGCAGTGTTTTGCAATCCATTTGCGAACAAAAATGTGTGACTTTCTTTGAGCAGGCACAAGGAGAAGCCACGGACATACATACACTTACATCATGTGTCCCGGTCGGCGACAGGAAGTCGCTTTATGAACTAGAATATACTAGAATGTTCACCTGGTGCGTGCGCAAAGCAACCGCTTGAGTGATCTCAAAACAAATTAAGGTTGAATACATTCACACAACGCACATCGGCACATGGCGCGCTCATCTGTGTTGTAGTTTCTTCGGCAAGATACCTTTGTTGTTGGGCGCCATCAATGTTTTAAATCCGCTTTCACTAGTCTCAAACAAAAAACATATGACGTGCCAATCCGTGCCATGTCAAACACACAAGGCAACACAAGCCGGGATTGTCGCCGCTGCTCGCAATGTCGATTCTGCTCATAAGTCTAGGCAACCATTTAATCTGACTGACACGCAAAATACTGGTCTAAACGAGTTACTTTTCTCTCGGTTTATGTAAATATTGGCATTAATTACTAGTAATTATACAAGTTGTTTGTGTCTCCGATTAAGATACACTATGTTTGCCATGTGTATATATGGGATCTGGTCAAAATGTCTTCCAAAAATGGCTGAAAGTCGTGTTCACATGGGGGCCCGCTACATATCCTTTACTTTTGGCATACACAGCTGGTTAATGAAGGAAACATGGACCAAACAAGTATTGGCGCCAAGTTGTAAGAGGCGTCACTAGCGCTGCAGCGTTTTCAGCTGATCTCCGAGCTTCAAGCCGTGCTTGAAACAAAAGACATGTTGCAACTCAGCCTTGGAAGGGTCCACGCTGGAATCTGGCAATGTTTGCTAGCGCGGATCTAGCGCAGTCCTAGCGCGCGCCTAGCGCATTTTTCCGCCAGCCACTTTTCAAAAACCTGACGACGTTCTGAACATGCCCTAAGGCAAATACTAGCGTCACTAGCACAAGTCTACCGCAAACCTAGCGCCCAGCACCAGAATAGGTGTGTTTAGCTGGGGGCCCGCTACATAATCTAATTGAAAAAAACAACATCATAAGCTACTTTCGACCCCTTTATCTATTTTTTTTGATTATAGACTTTTGGCCGGAGTCCATATATATAAATATAGAGCATAAAACATAAGACTATTATACAAGTAGTTCCCGGGCAAGCCGGCGGCGGAAGTTTCATATAAAAACAAGTTGACCTATAGGAGTGTCCACGTTCTCTCCAACATGCGCGTCCTCCAGTCAAACGCACGCGCTCCGGACTTGTGCCCCCTGCAGGATCAGCAGCTCACAACAGTGTACTGGGTTGTATCTTTGCCACGACAAGAGGGCTGTATGACGAGTGGTGTATGATGAGTGGTGTATTGACCAGCAGTTGAATGTCCTGTCCTGCATAAATGCAACCAAATACTATCAGTATGAACTGCGCCAAACCTGCACGCCGCGAGAGATGACTCAGCAGCGAGAGATGACTCAGCCGCGAGAGATGGCTATAGCGAGAGCTGACTCAGCAGCGAGAGATAAATGAGCAGCGAGAGATGACTCAGTCGCGAGAGATGACTCACAGCAGCGAGAGCTGACTCAGCAGCGAGAGATGACTCCTCCGCGTACTACACTTGTACTACAAAGTGGCCAGTTCTCAGCTTCCAGCTCCACAGGTTGTTCCGCGTGCTAAAGTTGTACTAGAAAGTCGCCAGTCAGTTCTCATCTTCCAGCTCCCCAGATGCTCCGCGTACTGCAGTTGTACTACACAGTCGCCAGTTCTCAGCTTCTAGCTGCACAGATTGCTCCGCGTACTAAAGTTGTACTACAAAGTCGCCAGTTCTCAGCTTCCAGCTCTACAGATTGCTCCGCGTAC